ATGACATGTTGATTTATATCCTCTCTTTTTTATATGATCATTGTTAGTATTATCATTATTATTATTATCATTACTACTACTACTACTACTACTACTACTACTACTACTACTACTACTACTACTACTACTACTACTACTACTATTGCTGTTATTATTATTATTATGTAGTAGTAGTAGTATGAATGTTGATATATCTTATTTCATATATATACATGTTTTTCTCCAGGACCTGACATATGATACTGCAAGTGGGCAGATCATCTGGGCAGAAACAACAACAGACTCACACGTAAACAGCAGCTGCAGAATTATCAGTTCTGGAGAGGCAGGAGAAAGAGTTCTGGTCAGCAGGGAACAGTGCTATCCCTTTTCCCTAACCACCGATGGCAGCTATGTGTACTGGTCTGACTTTAGCCAAAAGGGCATCATGAGGGCCAGCATGAGTGACCCAGAAGATGTGGTTAAGCTGGTTCATGCTCCTGAATTTGAAGGTGTTTTTGGGACACATTTTGGCGTTTATGGCATTGTTGCTTTGAACGGGCCGGAGGGAGACTCTATTGAAGATTTTTGCAAGGAAAAAATGAAACCTAAGTTGCAGAAGGAGGAACCCAGTGATCTAAAGGAAGATGTTAAGTTAGAGGCAAAGCCTGCAGTTGCAGCTGTGATGGATGAGACCTTGGTTGATGAAGCTGACCAGGCGACTACCAGAGTGGCTTATCACGTAGAAGTACAAGGAGGCGAAACTACAGTGCTACCTGATGTAGAAATCTATAATGCAGATGAAGAGAAAATACACTCTGAAGAGTCAAAGCATTTCTCACAAATTGTACATGCAAACCCAAGTGATGATGATAAAACAGAACCCGAAATTGAGGAAAAAGAATATATTCATTCTGATTCTCCACCTCCAATGAAAACAGAAGATTCTACAAGATATTATCAAAATTCGGAACAGAAATCACCTGCTGACTATTTAAGAGCTCAAGTGTAAGTACTTTATTATATTGTTTGATATTTTCTTTTTAATTTCCTTTTTGGATATTTCAAATTAGAATATGTATCCAAAATGCATAATGTTTTTGAAATTATAATACATAAGATTTTTATTAATGAATCATTATTCAAAATGCTTCCAGTTTAAGGCTTCAGTTACCATTTAAACTTTCTCTTATTTCAGGTACAGTGAAAAACAACTTTATATCATTGTGATAGTGATACTGGCAGTGTGTTGCACATTATTTTTCTGCACAACGCTAGGCCTGAGTGTGAAGATACTGTTTCTGAGGAGAACAGACATGCCAAAAGGAGAATTACCAACTACAATACCAACCAAAGGTATCAATCAGCAGAACTTGCAAGACTTTCCCTGTGTGTCAGAATAGATCTCAGCATATGAAAGCATAGCAGTTTAGTTGGATGCTGTTTTTGTTTATTATTATTTTAGTATATTTCTTATCAAATTAGTATGTGTATTAATATATTAGCATTTTTATTATTATATTAATATTATTATTATTATGTTGGTATTTTTTATTTTATTAATATCGTCATATTAATATTCTATTATTATATTAGTACTTAATGGAAGTAATAAGGTCCTGAATTCTCCACAGGAACCCCAGCAAAGAAACCTCGTCAACCAAAGAGGTTTGGGCCCCCTAAAAAGGCTGGTTTTACAGCAGTCTCAACTTGCTCAAGACAGGCTGATGACGGCGTTCACATCAACATTGAAGACTGCTGTCAGATGACGCTGTGTGAAACGGTAAGAGAGAATTATTTGTTTAGCAAGAACTTTGTAGCTATTTATAGTTTTATTTAATTTTGACATGTACTCTTTTCTTCTTTCCTTTTCACAAAGTTTATTTAACAATTTGTAGCTTTCTTAGCATTTATGTATTTCACAGTCTGGATTGTATATTGAATTTGATTGTAAAATCTGTGATAAAATGTAAATTGTAGTTGTAAAAAAAAAAAAAAAAAAAAAAAAAAAAGTGAATGAATGATACATCAATATATACAGTATTGTTCTCTTTATTTGTTACTCATCTTGATATTGCTGAATTACAATGTTTACAAATTTTATTTTGTAGATTTCTCTATATATGTTACATAGGTCACTTGCATGCAGTAAAATAAAAAAGTTCTTTATAAATATTTCTCCCACAGCCATGTTATACAACTGTCAAGAAAGAAGGAAGAGGTTATACAGCAGCTAAAGAAGACAAGAAGAGTTTGCTTGATAATTACAACTTCTGATATGTGGCTAAGAATACCTTATGTAAGCGCCTTGTCAATTAAAATAGAGGACTGCAGGCGACCAAACATGAAACACGACAAGAGTGGGTATTGGTATTTTTACACATCAAGTCCATATTATTAGCTCATTCCTCCATTCAGGTTTAATTGTATCAGTGGAAACATTTCCAAAGAGTGCAATATAATGGGAGTGTGGTAATACTGTCAGAGGTAGGTGAATCTTTTAAAGCTTAAATTCTTTCAAGTTATTCATTATTGGTCATGTAAGCAATATTTCTTTTCTTGTGGACAGAAAAAACAAACAATGGCCTTTACCATTATGAGAAACTGCAAATTAATGACTTGTTAATGGGAAGTGTTCAGCCCCGTCCTAATTTGCTTGTCATTAATGCCATTGTCTAGAGAATTATATTATTATCAAGCTGTAAATTGGACTCAGTCATGAGATGTATTATATACTCACTCTGTAAATATACTGTTACAAGTGGTCTAAGACATATTGTATATTAGGAAGAGGGTCTATCATATCAGATAGGCATTATCACATTCACATATTTATGCATGCCCAAGCACAAGCACAGGTACTGGTGTATGACATGCACGCACACACCAGCAAACACAGATCCATAAACACACAGACACACACATGCACTCAAACAAACACAGAGACACACATCAACATGTCTGATTTTCCCGTCTGTTAAAGTCAATATCATAATGGCTGTGAATTACCTCATTTTAGATTTTGCTGCAGTGACATCTTGGCACAATGGTTATTCATTTTCATTCCTTGTAGTGCCAGTAAATGGATGTGGGCCGTCTTGCTCATGCAGGACCTGTTCAGGGGGTTAGGCCCTAGCCTGTACTAACCAGAGGGGCTGCTCGGCTGCACCTTTTGTGTAGTTATTCTTTTCGTAGAGAAAAAATTTAAATTAAAAAAAAATAAAATTTAAAGAAAGAAAAAAAAAAAAAAAAAAAAGTAAATTTCTTGCACTTACTAAAACATTTGTAAATCACTTACTATTTGGTGGAATCATTATACGTTACTGCCCAGAGCCACGTCAATAGGTGCCAAATAGTGTTTCCATTAATGATGTTCTGAATTTGGTTATGTATTTTATTTCAACTTGTCATACTTTTTTGTCTTCCAGCATGCCATTAGCTTCTCCTTTTGGCTTGCTTTGGCTTTTAACAAAGATTGTATTGAAAATAAGAGAAAAAAAGACAGTATTCTTTTTTAATGGAACAAGTTAGAGCAAGGTCTGTATATTAAAGATGTCTGACAAAATGTTTTTTTTAAAGCAGTGGCACAAAAGCTTTTTTTCATCTTTTTTAACAGGCAAATCTCATTGTGTTTTAAGTATACTGAACATTAACTTGTTACACTTGAGCCATAGAATTATGGAAAAAATGAAGTGAAAATAACAAATGTACAGTTAAGTACATGAATTTGAGAATCTGTTAATTCTACACATTTGTCTGTATGTATGGTGCTCAGATTTTATGATTATATGCATCTTATGATTATATGGACATAGTTCACATTATCACTTGGAATTCCGAGAATGGTGCAAGAAACTTATTGTTAAAGTGTAGAAAGTATCACAGAAAAACAAATAACATATCATCTTAAATATATATGCATCATCTACTAACAAATCAAATGGTAACAACCCCGTTGAACTTACTGTACGGTACGTTCAATAACTGAAGGTGGAAGTGCTCACTACTTAAAGCAGCTTTTCTCATGTTCATAACATTTCATAAAGGTGTTAATATTTATTGTATTTTGGAGTACATGTTACATGGATGTTTTGCCCCAAATGTGTTTTCTGTGTTGACTTAGATGAATGTAAGATGTGTATAAAATCATCTGCATAAATGAAAGTTTTGTGGTTGGGAAATAATCAGTGTAAGATCTGATGTAAAAAATTATTATACAAGGTGAGTTACTGATCATTGTATGGCTTTGACTTACAAGTTATATTGTCCAGACATGAACTCTGGAGTTGTTAATGTTATAGCTTAACTGTGATAAAGAACTATAAGAGAAAAACGATCATACATGAACAATCTTTAATCCAAAGCATATTTATATATATGGATGTAAAGCATTTCACTTTTTAAGAAGAGTGTAATACTAATCTTTAAAAAAAAAAAAAAAAGGTTTTATTTGAAGGTTAATGCTGGTCTTAACCAAGCTGAAAATTAAATGTTATATTATTCCCTTTACTAACTGGGAAGGAGAATGGAGTTCCAAATTCAGATGGTCTACAATGTTATTTTTTTATACATAGATCTGAAACTTTGCACCATTTTTTTTATTTATTATTATTAACTTTAATGATTATTGTCTTTTGTATAATCCAGCTTCCAATATATGGGTCTGTGATTCTTTAAGCCCTCTGACCTTAAGAAGAGGTAGAGAGAAAAACTATATTTTATATAATTTTATTCTATTATTAAGATGGGATATGTTTGGCGTGTCAGACATGTCAAGAAATAGATTTTAATGCAGTGTTGGTAACTAGGGTCAACTCTTCTATGCTTTGTGCAAAGTCCATCTTAATTTGGTGTCAAAATCTAGTTTATAATTACAGGGTTATGGAAAAAAAAAAAAGTTACCTCGTTGTAACTTTATTGGTAATGTTGAAACAAAACGGTAATGTTTGAAGTCGTTGGATCAGTCAACTTGCGTTTCTGAGAGTAGGAAGCAGTTGTGTCGAAAGGTACAGTTTTCTAGTCATGATTAATTTCTTGGAGCAGCAGTTTCTTATTATTTTTTGTTTACATTTTCCTGTTTTGAAGAACAGTTGAAACTTCCTCAGGGAAATAATCTAAACTATTGTTTGTGAGTTATGAGGAAGATCAGTTGGTTGTGAAGAGGTACAGTATTAATGTTGTGACGTAGCCGTTTTTGTCTGCAATCGCATTTATTTTCTCTGAAGGTAATGAAGTGCAATTGAATAATTTCCTTTGTTGGTTTTGTAAACGGAAAAGGAAATGTGAACATTTGATAAATTTCATTTTTCTGTAATCAAATGTATGTACAAGTCTGGGTTTTCAATTTCAGATTTGAAAACATCTGCTACATATGAGGATATTATATCTTAGTATATATGATGATGATACTTCTTCACATATATGAGTACATAAATATCTTCATATATGCAGATCTATGAATGGTATAACATTTACAAGAAACCATGGCAGAATGGCACAGCCCTAGTACTAATATTGTGTATAAAATGCTGTAGTAAAATGGTGGGACTCCCTTTAACTCTGCATAATATCTAGTTATTTAAAATACTACTTTACTCTCAAAAGGAGACAGAGAAAAAACAAAAACAAAAACACTGCAGTGTTAAAATGTCCTGATATGTTGCCTTACCTCGCTCATCCTAAGAAAGGATAGTGATATTTTTGTATGCAAGATTTAATGAAGCTGCATTTACTTGTGACGGTCACATGTAGACACCAAGATGGGTCACATGTTGGACCTTTTAGTCATTGTTGTGGTTATGGTATGGGCTCTTGAGATGGAGACATACCACTGATAGTCTAGAATTTCATTTCAAATGATCAACACCGGTGGTACAGTAAGTTTCCGAGATAGGTTTTTAACTCAATTTCAAACACAGTCTCTTTGCTTGATATTATAATTTATTCTAGACTGTACCAGCTAAATTTCATTTTCACATGAATTTTTGTACATTTCTTTTGTTTTAATTATATCAGGAAGAGTAATCCTCGTTTATTTTTTTTTAGAATCAAAATCTGTCTGATTTATTGTACCATTATAATTTCCCCATATTTTCTCAATGCAATAAATGTTGATCTCACATTTTTCTTATGTTATTTCATTACCCTAGAATACATTAACCAATACCTTTTAAAGGCAAAATTGCAGGTTACTGTTAATAAAAGAGAATTGAAAACTAAAACAACCCTTTATTTCAGTCACAACATGGAATCAGACTTCAATTTGCTGGAATGACTCTACTGTGCCTGCAGGGGGGGGAGAGAGAAAAGTTATTTATAAAATACACAGCTTGAAAGTTAACAAAAAATCTATAATGACCAAATGCAAATGGAATTGACCAGATATATGTGCTGTATGAATATTTTATAAGAATTTAGTAATTCAGAGAAAAAAATATTTTGCTACCAATTCCATTATATACAAAACACAATTTTTATGTGTTAGAAAACATTTATGGGAATAACATATAAATATCTCACCTTTCACTCACTCCCAAATGCTCTCTTTTATGCTTCTATATCCTTATAGACCCTCTCAAACATATATCCCTACCCATAGAAGTAGGAACAAGATGCCGAAGCCCATAAACACGGAAGCAACGAGGGCAATAAGACACTCCTGGAAGAAGGGAAATACAGGAGTGAATTAATGTTTTCATAAAAGTTTTCCTGCAAAAAAGTTCTCCAATATCTGCAGTTAGATAAATGTCTATGAACAGAGAGAACGTTTGTGCAGCAGCTTACCTTAAAGAAGTCTCGTGTGAGTTTTGTGGAGGTGACTTCATACACGAAGAACCATGCTGTGAAGAATATCCCAATGCTCATGAGAACTAATGTCAAGTGTGGGTAGATGGCGGGATTCACCGGGGACACATATCTTGACATAGACTCAATACCAACCTGGAAAGAATTTTATGATGATTTGCTAAAGGCTAGGATATCAAAACATAGTGCCACTTCTAAAGAAATGAATACAGTAAATTCTTGTATTTGGTGATTAACTGGTAAAGGAAATTTGCCAAATATAAAGTTATTTTCTAGAAGACCTCTACATTATAAACTTCATTAAACACCATACCATTAGGCTCCTCATGATGTCTAGAGGGCATGGGGAATCACCAGAACATGGCAGTGTTTATTTGGTATTTATATATTTTCCCAATAAATAAGTTATCCCCTAAAAGCCCTTTATGTTTGGGGTTCTGCTGCAACCCCCCTGCCCGGAATACAAAACCTCCACTGCATCTGAGTGACACACCAAGTCTGATATCACAAGTGGAAGCAAATGTCCCTCACTGTTCAAGTTACTTCTGCAATTTATGGTAGTTTTCTGATGTTCATATTAGGTCGATTCACTATTTCTACTGGTCCTTTTTTTGTTATATTTGGTTAGAAGACATCAATACAAATTCATCCAAGCCAAATTTGATAGGTTTTAGGATGTGGACAGGATCTAGAAATATACCATAATTTTTTTTTTTACCCAAACTGAAATTATCTAATTGATTGTGGGGTTAGCAGGGTCTTTGGACAATTTTGCCTTTTTGTCTATGTCTACTTTTACACGCACACCTGCACCCACATCTACACACACACATGCACGCACACGCGCACACGCACACACGCACACACACCACATAAGTATAAAAAAAAAAAAAAACAGACATTGTTCTCAGATGCCATATGAAATTAGGTGGAGTATATACAATGAAAGTTTTAATCACAATCCTTTTTTCACAGATAATGAGAGGGAGATCACCAACGACAATTCATATCCAAGCCCCATCATTCAACCGCCTTTACTTTTAATATACTGTCTACTTTGTAAACTTCTTTCCTTTGAAATAGTTCAGCTTTTTCTTTTAAATTTTACATTCCCCTTTGTCCTATCATTTAAGGCTGGCTTCCTCCCCACACTTATTTATAAATGACCACTTATCAACCCAGGCTGGAAAGAGGTGGTACATGGCCCTTCTTTTCCCGAGAAATCATTTAACATATTAAGCAAAGGACAAGGAAGGAAACAAAATAATTTTCGGTAATAATGTGTGATATTCTGTAGCCAAAACTGGTGTCTGGCTAGCAGCTGACACGTACTGCCAAGATAATTTGCCAAATGTAAATACTATACTGTAGAGGAATCTTTAATTTCCAACATGAATAATGACCACTCTTCATATTGCATGTGTGTCACTTATAGCAAATGAAGGTAGTAGTTCTTTACAGTTCAGACACACTCCCAACCCAAACTCCATGTAACAAAATTTATTCATCAATCTAAGTTGTCATGGCTGGGTGTGTTCAACTACCCAAGGGTAAACACTGTCTTTACCTCAGTATACATGGCAAGATAGAGCAGATACTTGGGAGCACCGAGACACTACAACTTCCTGTCCTCTATAATACTATCTTTAATTTACCCTTGTTAGTGCATCCATAATGTAAAGATTAACAGTAAGCTGCTACTCTGGATACATTCCTATACCCTTGAGATTTTCTATTGCCCCATTCTGCCTTCACAAATTCTTTGTATTCTCTGACAGGGGTTGGGGAGCAGAAGCCTCTTCCAGGGGGCCCATAGGGGATGCAGCCCTGCAATAGTCATAACAGTATATGCTACTGTACACACATGGAGGATTCTTTGTTGTCCAGGACAGGAGTTGGAGGGTTGTAGGGGATAGAGCTCCCTGCATTAATGTACATAATCTTAGTCTGCAATTTCCCTGGTACCTTTCATGCCCTTCCCTGCTATCAGAATCCAGACTGTGTGTATTGGGGAGCTTCCACAGCATGATATATATACCCCCAGATATATACAGATATATACAGATATATACAGATATCTATAGATATAGGAGTATCTATAGATATATATCTACAGATATATATGTATCTATAGATATATATATCTACAGATATCTATATCTATAGATATATATCTATATCTATATCTATATCTATATATACACATATACATATATATATGTGGGTAGTAGAAAAAGGAATCCATCAATACCACTTGCATCATGATTTGTTATCCAAAGGTCTTATGAATGTTTACCTGAAAATGCCATTTTCTATAGGTTGGCATGAGTACTAATAAATAGGGAATATATAATACTATCTTTAATTTACCCTTGTTAGTGCATCCATAATGCAGTAAGCTGCTACTCTGGATACATTCCTATACCCTTGAGATTTGCTATTGCCCCATTCTGCCTTCACAAATTCTTTGTATTCTCTGACAGGAGTTGGGAGCAGAAGCCTCTTCCAGGGGGCCCATAGGGATGCAGCCCTGCAATAGTCATAACAGTATATGCTACTGTACACACACGGAGGATTCTTTGTTGTCCAGGACAGGAGTTGGAGGGTTGTAGGGGATAGAGCTCCCTGCATTAATGTACATAATCTTAGTCTGCAATTTCCCTGGTACCTTTCATGCCCTTCCCTGCAATCAGAATCCAGACTGTGGGTATTGGGGAGCTTCCACAGCATGATATATATATACAGATAGATAGATAGATAATATATATATAGATAGATAATATAGATATAGATATCTATAGATATATATATCTACAGATATTATATATATATATATCTAATATACTACTGATATCTATAGATATATATATCTATATATATCTATATCTATATATACACATATACATATATATATGTGGGTAGTAGAAAAAGGAATCCATCAATACCACTTGCATCATGATTTGTTATCCAAAGGTCTTATGAATGTTTACCTGAAAATGCCCATTTTCTATAGGTTGGCATGAAGTACTAATAAATAGGGAATATATAGAAGGTAGGAAAGATTAGGCTGGGTGTTTGGGCTTGCAGGATACTGATTTTGTTTTTTGTCGCACCTGGTGACAATTATCCAGATGTACTCAGATATGTCCCAATTCCACATCACAGAATTTATTCAGCAATTTAATTTGCTATGACTGGGCACTGTCTGTGGGGACAGATGGTGGGCAGCACCAGGCAAACATTGTCTTCACAGCAATATGCACGTTAAGATAGACGTGGAACTCAGGTGAACCAAGATTATTCTGTGTGCAGTACTCCCGCAATCTTTTCCTTTATTCATAGCAGTATCGTTTGTGTCTGCATATTTCTTATACTGGCAACTGCAATGTACTCTAAAAGATCATCATCATCAATGTGCCCTTGCTTGGTGCATCCATACGATAACAATTAGCCAAGCTTCATACAATTCATCAACCTATTGATTTCCTGAACTGTTATGGTGATTAATGTTACCGAGAGCGACACCTGGAGATAGAGGGAAGTGGACACTGCCATTGGGGGTGGGGGTGGAGTGGAGTGGGGGGTTCTGGCCCCAGGAAACATTCTTCACCTCTGTATGTGTGGCAAGATAGAGCAGCGTTTACACCGTAAAACAAAAAAAATACTTTTATATCTGGAAACATCAAACTTTTGTTTCCTTCTTACTACCATCTGGATTGTTTCGATTTTAATCCTTTTTTCAGCAATTTGGGGCAAGTATTTAACTGGGATAGTTACTAAAGTTGATATCTTCTTCATTGCCACTGTACAGTCTCAAGAATAACCCAGAATCAACACAACACTGGAAATGCATTATTTCTCACCGGCCACCTGTCACAGAGTGTCAGGCTTCGAACTGTCAAACCTCGCAGCTGGCAAATCAAAGAGTAAAATGCACGATGCACAGATATTCTAAGTGTATAGATAAATCATAAAACACATAAATGAAGTATAACATTCATAAGAGACTTTAAAAGCATAAATGTGTAACAGCAGACATTGATAATTAGCCACATATTTTGACAAGCGCATAGTAACACATGAAATACTTTGGATATCACAGTAATAAGTTATGCAGTCAGGCAAAAAAGGTAAGTGACAGACTGAGCGGTGATGCGTAGGGTACATTTTCATCATCTAGCGGTGAACATGAGGCCACTGCAGCTTAAACTATGTTGCATCGTATTCTATTTCTTCCACTCTGTAAGACGGCAGTGTCCATTTCCCTCTATCTCCCTCCGTCGCTATAAGTAACTTATACCCAAGGCGAAGAACTTAGAGACAGATGGGTTTATCTTCTCTTCTCTGCCATGTATCTCCCTTATTTTCGTTTGGCTCGTCTTTAGATAATTACACTTTTTAATGATTTTTAAAAGGCATTTAGTTTCTTTCGTCATTTACAGGTTGATATCGACATCGCGCCATCCCCCCTCCCCCCTCCCTCCGCTTTGGAGCTTCGTGAACTCATTTATACCCCTTACCCCCTCCCCCCTTTGGAACTTAGTCTCTGTGAGGGTGCGTCGCAGTCTGTAACAATTACTGATCATGAAAAGTGCCACTCATGGTTGAAGTCCCAAGTTCAACATGTAAACCAAAGGCAAAGCCATTTTCATGGGAAGGGGGTGGGAGGAGGCACTTCCGGTTAAAAGAATAAAGACTGGGCTAATGTTTACGTACTGTCAATTATTAAGGCGTAATCAGCAGCAACTGCGCTAATGCTACGGCAGTCTCTTTTGAGCTTATGTGTCCATGTTTAGGTTTCGGTTTCTCATTCTACAAAAATGGCGGAGACAAGAATAACCAACCTAACCTAATCCAATCAATATAACCTAACCCCAGACTAACTATTTTTTTGAGCGGGGAATGTTACGTTTTTCATGCGGGGAAAACATTTTGTCTATATTTACGTGGACGGATCTGCGAACGGATGATGAAACAAGTGCATGGAAAGGTCAAAAGCATTTTAAGCGCAGATGATGATTTAAAAAAGAACTAAGCGTGGGCAGAAAGCTACCCGAGAAGTACATCTGCGCAGACAGAATTCGACCAAATGATTTCTGAGAGCAGACCAAACTCTTCAGTCCGGTCCTAACCTAACGAGTAAAGTTAGGTTAAGTTGGCGACGAATTACCAAACCACAGCAAAACACAAATATCAAAACCGTATCAACATATAACCAAAATCAAAATGCTTGTCTCAATAAAATTCAACATCAACGCAAATTTTTTCGAAGGAAAATATAAATCGTTATGACATGTGCCGGCAAAAAAAAAAAAGCGAGATTGTATTTAATTCACGTTTTATCCCGAGACAGCAGGAAACTCTGAAGCATTCGTGTGTGCATCCCTTCAAGAAGAATCAAGCACCATCGATTTTATAAACATTTATTAAGATAAAAGCACACTCCAGTTGCAAATAACTTCAACCTCGATCCTCACCCTCCACACAAAGTCAAAAAAAACTCCCTCAAACCCCAATACAACCCAAACCTCCACCCCTCCCCTAATCCACCAACCCCAACCATCCTCCTAAACACCCAAAGATACCCCAACACTCCCCCATTAGGCCATAAAACCCCAAAAACAACAGACTCTCAGCTCACCATCTTGGCGTTTGTTGACAGCCCGAGAATCAGCCAATGACGAGCCGACAACTCTCGCCGGTGGACACGTTTCCCGCTGTCGTACGGAAGGGAGGAAGTTGTTGTACGTTGGGGGCGTGTCGTGCGACTTAATGGAATGTATATGTATGCATATGTATGTTTATTTAGATGTATATGTATATGTATCTTTATGAATATTTATGTGTATGTGCGTCATATTTATATACATGCATATATGTACGTGAACATCATACCTTACTAGTGGGATGATATGGGGGCGTGGTTGTGTGAACAATCTGTAACTACATATATATACATATTTTTAGATATTCATACTTATAGCTAAATGAACACACGCGCATACACGGTTGTATGTGTGTATGTGTGTATAAATAAACATATGTTAATGTCTTCGTGCGTGTATATGTGTATTTATTATAAATAAGTGAAAAATATATAAATACATGCGTACAGGCACATATGTTTATATATATAAATACACATATATACATATATATGTAGATATATATACATATACATATATATATGTTTGTATATATATATATATATATATATATATATATATATATATATATATATATATATGTCATCGGCCAGAAGCAGTGACACTCTAATTATGCCATTATTAATGCATTTAATTGGTAAATCGTAACGCTTGATTAGTTATGATGATATAAAATTCTAAGGGAATAAAACCACAAAATAGAGTTTTGGTGGTGAGGCTGTAGTTGTAGGTTGTGTTTATGTTAGAGGTGAAATACTTGTGGACGATCTTGGTGGTTACTTTAACTCGAGATAAGGGCCAAAATACCAAAGTCGCCTTCTCAAAGTGCCACCTCAGCATCCATACACCGAACAACCAGGCCTCTGTCTAGATGACCTGGCACCCCTAGGTCTAAAATTCCTGAAGTCAGTTCAGGTTGAAACATCATTGAGTGAAGGTGAATCGGTGTTGACTCCTGGAACTCATTTGAAGAATACGGCGTGATTAGCCGTGAAAACTAGCTTAACTAACTAGAAATTAATTCTAGTATTAGGGTGAAGTTAGCTGTAGATTCCAGTTCGTCTTTTCCCCGAAGTTAGCGGAAGGCGGGCCTAGGAACTATGGTCAAATTGTAAGTATTATTACTTAATAAATGTATAAGTTCTTTTCACACACAGTGTTTAATATTATCCCATTTTGTCATTCCTACATAATAGGACACTGAACAAAGGAGAGAACCACACCACAGAGATACTGGTTGGGTTGAACACAGTGGTACACGAAACAAAAAGAAACAACACTTATACTAATTAAATCACTTGGAGTACATCGACACGAGAAATACAATATCTATTAAATAAGAACCTATGTCTTGAAGAATAATGATATATATGAGTGAAAATATCAATGATATCGAGATATATGTGAAATAGAGTAATTTAATTCATTTTAAGGTTTCCAGAAATAGTGAATGATGAATCAGAATGATGCCATACTGATCTGAAGTTTTAATGAACAAAAATATTATTGAAACTATCTGAGATAACCTTTGATTAACTTACTAGAGTAAAGTAATAACGAAGATTTATGTTGGGGTAACAATGACCACATAACATATGGTGGCAGCGAGAAGGATTAATAATAGTATTGTATTCTATGTACTTTAAATAAATTGTCAGTATCGCAGCATTCTGGAAGTGTACGGCAACTATTGCGGGCACCGAGGAAAGTAGAGACTGTTAGACTCACTGACGTACTGGCATGCCAATGAGAGTGTGAGGGACTGCAAAACTGAGTTTTGATTGGCTGAGAGAACAGAGTGTCTGTAACGCTTAAGTTTTAGAGCACGAGCCGCTATCCAATCAGCGACGAGGAATTGGACGAGCATATGACGTCAGACTACGTAAGGTTGACGTAAGACTCGTAGGACCAATCAGACGACGGTAGACTCATGACTGTGACGTCACTGAGCCACTCGCTCGTGATACCGAGAGCGGTAGTCTGAGAGCTGACGCGAGACAGAGAACATCTCTGAAAGTCAATTATTGCATGGCTAAGTCTCCACTATTCCTTAATAGTAACTAGATGAATAAAGTTAATTAAGGGGTAAATTCATGCATGCTTATTGATTACACAGTTCAATATAAAAGGATAATTAGAAATTGATTTGTTTGAGTAATATTTTTGGGTTAGTTATCCCTAAAAGTTTTTTTCACCAATAGAAATTCATAGAAGACGGAGTGGAGGGCATACTAACTTAACACACTACAATTATACTAAGACGGCTAATACAAATATATAACCTTTTATTATATGAATGGAGGTTTGTCCATGGGTTATGAGTGTTTTGTTTTATTTTTTCTACTGTCTAGTTTGTTTTGTGTTTTTGATGGTTAACTAATTACGCTTGTTTTCTTGTGTTTACTTGCGTTCTTATTGGTTTTCGCACTGAAGTGACTACAATTAACGATGGACTCATAATATTTTGTAATATTGTTGATGCGGGTGACAGTTCATGTCTGAGACAAGATCAAAATCGTCAAATTCTTTAGAAAACAATCCTATAGAGGAGCTGTACGAAGAAGAATACATTTTCACTCTTAGAGAAGCTGAACTACTGCTCGACGTAGCAGAATCACCGGGGGAGGAAGATAACCCTTGTAATTTACACCCGGTTTCGTTAGGAAAACGCAAAATGGACGCGCGATTTGAGCTTTTAGAGGAACAAATGCGCGCTTAGCTGCACAATTGCAGCAAGTGGTGGAGATGCAATCTCGCAGTCATCGAGCTGCAACAGAAGACACTTCCGAGGCTCAATCAGCTGAAACCACGGCTAATGAAGCACCGAGCCAAGCTGGAACTACGAGACAGTTCAGTACAATGGAAGTATTCACCAGGGACAAGAGTGTTCCCATGTTTACGGGTGGGGAGGGCCTCACCGGTGGGGAATGGCTTGCCCGGGTGGAAGCAGAAATGAAAAGGCGTAACATTACGGGAGAAATAGACAAGACATTGTTCGCCTTGGGGTACGTTCACACGGAGAAAGGACCCGCTAGAGTGTATGCACATGAGGTGGGAGCTGAAGGAGTCCCCTACCGACGTTTCAGCAAGATGATCCTTTCTCGGTTTAGTGAAGGAAGAAAACCTTGGAACCGTATCCTTCCTTCGAGAAGCAGAGAGAAAGAGGGGTGAGACATACAAAGAATGGGCCAAGACACCAAAGGCTCTTCGACTAGACTGCATGCTGATGAAACATTGGCCATTTGACGGAATTTGGCTGAATATTGTGATGGATACTCTCTATGACCATATGGTCGGAAAAGCCGCGAAATATCGGATTGAAGGGACGGAAAAATGGGACCATGACCGTCTAAACTCCATGGATGCTGCCGACTTGATTAAAGAAATTGGAATTTGGATGGAGGATAATCCTCTACTCGACCAACAATTCCAAACTAAGTTAAGCCCGGGGAAGAAAAACCAGCCATGAAAACCAGAGTCGGTGCTGTAAAAACAGAAAGTCGATCCATGAAAGCGAACGGAGGAAAAAAGTTTCATTGTCCAGAACATGGCTGGAATAAGACGCATGGAAAGGAGGATTGCTATAAGCTGAAAGCAGCCGAAACTTCTTCAACACTGGCGGCAGATAAGCCGCAGAGGAGAGAGAAAAAGGGCAATCCATCTAGCATGATGACATGTTTCCTGTGTCAAAAGAAAGGACATCGGCGAGCCGAATGCCCAATCCAAAAGGACGTCGAGAAATTATTGGCTTCAAAAAACGGAGCCAAGCCGTCCAAGACGGACGGCAACACGGTAGAGGAAGGGAGACACCAGAGAATGGAGGAGACCGTGGACTATCGCATTCCCATGCTAGGACCACCACCTCCAGAATATATGATGACTGAAGTGTTTGTACCACAGAATGACAGAAGTTTTGTCGCTGTGTGGGACTCTGGTGCAAAACCCAATCTGGTCAAACTATCACTTTATCGGGCACATGAGGACGTGAAGAAGAAGGACTCTACGAGACAAAGAGACGTACCTTCTCCGCTAGTTCCCCATAACGTGACAGTAAGTGGTATCCTTGATGCAGAACCAGTGAAAGCACTTGGACTGGCCAAGATGACTTTCATTATTGGGGGAAAGCAGTTTACTGGTGATTGTTTTGTATTCGAGGATCATGCAATCCATTTCCCAGGTAATTGTGATCTGCTTATTGGGACGGCCTTTATGAGGACTCACAAGCTGGATCTAAGTTTTCAGTATTGGAGGGTTCATCTAAACAAAGGCCATTGGTGGAGTGCCTACCTACCCCCATCGATGATAAACAGGTGCATGACATAGCTGGAGTGGTTGATCAACCAATTAACGCTAACTGTGGAGATGCACCGATGACCTGTTCTTCTGATGTGGCATTCAACAGTGTTGCCGACAAAGAGGACACAGTTGTAATAGTCTCTACTGGGGTTTACACCCTTCCTGCTGGGAAGGCATCCATCATTTTAGGGAGCCTTAAGCAGAAGGACGAGAGACTCAAAAACGGAACCTCGATTTTAATCAGTGGGTTACCGTTGGGAGAGAACTGTATCGTTATCCCTGTGGTAGCCAAGGCAGAAGATGTTGTGAAAGTCTTGGTCTGCAACTTCGGTCGCACACCGTTCTTGGTTCATAGCAAGAGAACCATTGCCAATGCTGTGTCTATCCAAGATGATGAAGAGGAGCAGCTGGGACGTTTACCGACCGACCACTGGGAAAAACGAGTTCTCACAAGGAGCAATCAATGGTGGTCACTGGTGAAACGTGATGTAGAGGAAGAGGATCCCCTGGATCAAGCTCTTCAAATTGATCCATGTTGTGTGGTGAAAAACGGGCCAGTGTATGATGAGAAGCGCTTCCAGAAACTTCTGAAAGCACTGGACGCTGATCGCTGGATCCTGAAGGAAGACCAACGCAAAGCAGCAGAGTCCATGATATGGGAATTCCAAGAGGCATTCAACCTTAAAGAGGAACCTTTAGGAAGAACCAATCTTGTTGAGCACAAGATAGAGACAGGCGACAGTGATCGAGTATAT